GGGGGAGGGGCCGGGAGACGGCACGCCCCAGCCTCGCCCTGTGCCAGTGACCCCGCATGGACCTGTGGACACCCAGCAGCCACTTTTGCGCCCCTGGAAACCACACCAGTCTGGCACCCAGGTGGTCACAGGTGTGGCAGAGAGGCCTGCCAGGCCACCTGTCCCCTTGTGCTGTGTGCCCATCCCCAGGAGACACCTGTGGGCCCCAGAAGCTGCCCCTTTTCTTTAACCCGCAGTCAGAACCAGGTCTCATGTCCCCCACTAAGGGCTGCCCAGGGTTTGGGTAACCCACCTGGAGGGCCTGGGCTGGACCACACCCCCAAACCCCCCTGCAGTGGATGAGGCCAGCCTGGCCTGAGGCCCCCTCTACCCAGGTGCATCTCCAGCCCGGTCAGGGGGCCCAGGACGGGTGCAGATGGGAGCCGGGCAAGGAGCTGACCTGCAGTGTGCAGAGTGGCAGTGTCCCTTGAAGGCCACACAGCGGAGTGTGGGGTGCGGTGTGCACCCCCCACCCAGACACCCCATCGACCCAGACGGAGGTGGCATTTGCCACCCACACCCTGTTATCCGAGGATCCACGGGAGACCGGACCCATTTAATCCACAAACAGGGCAACTAGCAACCACTGCGATCATCCTCAGCCTTAAGTGAGGAAACTGAGGCACAGCAGGCTCAGGGACTGTCCTGAGACCACAAAAGTGACAGGGTTCAGACCCCGTGGCTCACCAGCAAGGTCACCATGTCGGACCAGGAAAGACCGGGCTGGGCCATGCTCCAGGTCTTCCCAGAAGGGAGCAGGGCCAGGCCAGGCAGGGGCGTCAGAGCCGGACATGTGACCCCCCTGCTGTCTCTGCCCCAGAACCCGGGGGTGGACTTCGGGGACGTGTCAGAGAGGCTAGCCCTGCGCCAGAGGCTGAAGTGCCGCAGCTTCCGGTGGTACCTGGAGAACGTGTACCCTGAGATGAGGATCTACAACAACACCCTCACGTACGGAGAGGTACCGCTGGCCACAGGCCCTCGCTCGGCGCACGTGGGCACACTCCAGGGGACACGTGCACCCACCCCAGCATACGAGCCCATACGCACGCTCACACACACACACACACACACACACACACACACACAGAGGCATGCGCAAGTAGACAGATGCGTGCACATGCACATGTGCATGGACAGATGCACACGCGTACATGCATGTTTGTGGACATATACTTCCACATGTGCTGCCTGCGGGCCTGGAGTGTTCCCACACTCACCCACAGACACGCGGGGTCCCTACCCAGCCCACCTGCCTGCCACCCTGTCCTGGAGGGCCCATCCCCAGGCAGGACGGTCCCCAGGCACCAGGCTCACTTCAGGGACCTCCTGGTGACCCCAGCACTCTGACCACAGGTGAGAAACAGCAAAGCCAGTGGCTACTGCTTGGACCAGGGAGCAGAAGACGATGACCGGGCCATCCTGTACCCATGCCATGGCCTGTCCTCCCAGGTGAGCATCAGAGGCCCCCATGTGCCCTGGAGGCAGCGACACAGTGACTGGAGGGCAAGGCCTTGGGTCAAATAAGTCCCAGCAAGCTTGGCGTGGTGGCGCACGCCTATAATCCAAACACTCGGGAGGCTGAAGCAGGAGGATTGCTGTGAGTTTGAGGCCAGCCTGGGCTACACAGGGAGACCCTGTCTCAACACAAAGAAAAACAGGTCTTACTAAATCCCTCCTGTCCCATCCCTGGACGTCCTGTTGGTAGATGGGAGAGCAAAGTGTGGCCATAGGGTGGCCGTGACACAGGGGACAGTGGCTGTCCTCACGTGGCCTCCTGTTGTGCCCCCTTGTCCCTCAACCTTGTCCCAGGACACATGGACACTGGCTAGTCACCAGTGGGGGACCAGGGCAGCTGAGGGCCGGGGCCTTTGTAGCACCAGGCAACCTTGGGCACAGATGAGGAGCCTGAGGGGCCCAGTCACATCAAGGGCTCAGGAGGCTCCACCACTCCTGCCTCTGAGCCCCGCACGTGATGTCCAGGGCCCTGGAGCCTTCGTCCTCGTCCTCGGTGCTTGCCTTCCCCTCCGGAACTTCCTGAGCACAGGGCCTGTGCCCGGCCTGCTCCGGCATGACCCCGCCTCTCCTCCTGGGCCTGTCGCCCCGCCCCGCCGTGTCCATGGTCCAGAGCCAGGTGCCACGGCCTCCTTCCCCAAGGGGTGGGGTCCGCATCCCCTCGTGTCCACTGTGGTCCCCGAGCCCGGGCCGCTCAGGGCCGCTGTCCCCCCAGCTCGTGCGGTATAGTGCCGACGGCCTCCTGCAGCTGGGCCCCCTGGGCTCCACCGCCTTCCTGCCTGACTCCAAGTGTCTGGTGGACGATGGCCGGGGCCGAACTCCCGCCCTGCGCAGGTGCGAAGACGTGGTGCGGCCCGCACAGCGGCTCTGGGACTTCACTCAGGTCAGCGGGGGGGGGCGGTCCTGGGCCATGGGTGAGGGACCGGTGGGGTCAGGGCACGGTGGCCGCCCCAAAACAGGGGCAGGAGTGCTTGGGCAGGGCTGGGGTGACTCAGGTGGCTTCAGCCCTGGCTGAAGGCGACAGATGCCCGAGTTGGCCCACTAAGTCCCAAAAAGAAGCCCCTTCCTCTCTCCCCTCCCTCCCCGGCGCCCTGTGTGCCCACACAGTCTGGACCCAGGGCCTTGGGCAGCTCCTCCCCCATCCCCCCCCCCCGGGGCCCCCAATGCTCCCTGCCGCCCCTGGCTGTGGGGTGTGGGCTTCCAGCTGCAGGGAGGGGCTGTCATGCTGCTCGCTGGGCCATGAGGTCCTGAGGGCCCGGACATGGGTTAGGGGTGGGTGGCGAGGGCCAGCAGGGGACTGCAGAGCCGGCTTTGGGGTCACCAGGCGGGGGCCAGGTTCGCCGATGTCTTGGGGGCCTGAGGGGGCTGAGGGACCTGGACACGTTCCTGGTGCTCGCTCAACCCCAAGAGCAGACAGCAGGGCGGGTGTGGCGGTCAGGGGACAGGGGAGGGAGACAGGATGAGAGGACCTGTGTCCTGGGCTGTGCAGGGGCTGACCTGGGGCCCAGGGTCGCCATAGCGGCCGTGCTGGGGCCGCCTGGGGCTGGGCTCACCCCTCCCCTGCACGGCTCCCATGCTGACTCAGTCTCCCCCCAGGGTGGCCCCATCGTGAGCCGGGACACGGGCCGCTGCCTGGAGGTGGAGGTGTCCAAAGATGCCACCTTTGGGCTGCGGCTGGTGGTGCAGCGGTGCTCAGGGCAGAAGTGGACCATCCGGAACTGGGTCAGGCACGGGCGGCACTGACCCTCACCCGCCAGCCCTCACTCACGCGCGGCCCTTTGCCCCACAACCCTCAGGGCTGGGCCCTGACTCCGCGCGTGGGGGGGCTGCCAGGCTGCAGCCTTGGTCACCGTGTTGGGTGTGGACCCCAGGGGCAGGCAGCCCTGCCAGGGGCCTCCAGGGAGGGCGGTCGTGACGCCGAACGCGTGCCTTTTCCACGGTGTTCCCGACGGGCTGCGTGGACGGCGCCTTCCTGCATGTGCCAAGCCCTGTACGCAGCCCACGGGGACAGCACCTGGCCAGCCGAGGGCGAGGGCGAGGGCAGGACAGCCCTACGACCGCACGCCGCTCTCCCACCTAAAAGGAGCAGACCCAGGCCTCGCCAGCGCCCCGGCGCCCCTGCTCAGCAGGCCCGAGGCAGAAACCAGAGTGGCACTTGCAGCCTGGCAGCAGAGAGAGGGGAGAAAGCCCCAGAAACCCAAAGCCGTGGGGTGGAGGCCACAACCAGACCACAGCCAAAACGCTGCGGAGACCTGCTCCTGCCGGGCCAGGGGTGCGGGCCGGGGCGCCTGCTGGGCCAGGAGCCCCGCCTCTGCCCCACCCTCAGCCCTGGCTCTGCTCTTGTTGCTCGCCTGACCTTGGCGGCAGGGGGTCAGTGAAGGACACCTGGCCCCTCGCCTGTTTTTTAAATAAAGTTTTATTGGCTCACAGCCATACCCATGGTTCACATTGTCCACAGCTACTTCGGGGTGGAGGGTGCTGCTGGGCGTTGCTGCACAGTCCCCAGAGCCAGAGACAGCTCCTCTCCAGCCTTTCAGGAAAACGCATGTGTTGTCTGGGGGGCTGGCTGCCCACATCCCTATGCCTGTCCGGCAGCGGGGAGACAAGGAGCGGCCACCTTGACTCTCACCCTGGGGTCAGGACACAGCGTCCCCGCCCACACTGCAAGGAGACTACAAAGGGGCGGGGCCGGTGTGGCCCCTCCGGCCCTGTCAGGCTGTGCGGCCTCCTCTCACCCCAGAAGGTCGGTCGCGTGTCCCTCCAGAACCCTGTGGCTCTGGCCTGGCCCCCACACCTGCAGCTTCTCCTCCCCGGGACCCAAAGCGCCTTCCCATCTCCACAAGAGCCAAGGACCCTAACCTTGTCTCCACAGGGCTTCTGCCAGCCCACGCCCGGAAAGCCCTTCCTCCGGCCCAGATCACCCCGAAATGCCAAGAGGCTGGTGCAGCCCAGGCCAGCTCCACGGGTCGCAGCAGTTTCCCTGGACGCTGTGACCACGGAGCCCTCAGTGTAGGGCACTGCGTGGGGCCTATGCCAGGTCCAGCTCAGGACAAGGTCACCACGACAGGTTGTGCAGAAGCAGACCTGGGGAAGGGGAGGGAAGGGTGCAGGGAGGACAGGAGAGAGGACGAGTGGGGAGGGAGGGGCGCCGCGTGGCTGGGGCGGAGGTGCAGCTCTGACCAGCCTCGTCCACCGCAGCAGGCAGGGGCCAGGGCCAAGGGCCGCAGGGCCACCCGACCCAGGGGCCCAAGTGTTTCCCGCCCACCTGCCTAGTTGGTTTTTCTGTTCCTTTGAAGCGATGGCTGTGTTTCACACGGCAAAGGTGAAGCAAACAATGTAATAAAAGCTAACGGCTTGCCTGTGCCTTTCATCAGTGCAGGTATAAACTGGCCCTGCAGCGAATTCAGAAAAATCCACATTTGTGCAAAACAGCCCATTTGCAGCCAGACCTCAGGGCAGGCCAGGAGCGACAGCGGGGTGGCTCAGGGACGCAGCTACAGACGGGGGCTCCCTCCCCCGCTCACTCCCAAGGGAGACAACGTGCCCTGGGCTCCTGACGGAAGCACCGCTGTTCGATGAATCATCTACAGCCATGCTGTCTGCAGCTGGGCCTGGGGAAGCGGCGCCCTGAGGTCCGCCGAGGAACCACAGGGACCCATGGGGCTCCTGCAGTCCCCAAGCCTGCAGCAAGGGGGAGACAACCCCGGGGTAGGGGGTGCGTGGAGGCCGCACCGCAGCGGGAGTTGCAGGGAGTGGGTGCCGGATCCCTGCTTCCTTGCCCACAAGGAGGACAAGGCTGGGCATGGTGGGGCATGCCTGGATCCCAGCACTTGGGAGGCTGAGGCAGGAGGATAGCTGGGAGTTCATGCTCAATCTGGGCTACATAGTGAGCTCAAAACCAGCCTAGACTACATATCGAGACCCTGTCTCAAAAAACAAGAACAAAACAAGAAGCAACAACAAAAAAAAAAAGAGGAGGAGGAGGAGGGACACTCGCTCCAGGGTTTTCTGGGGGCTGGGAGAAACCAGGATCTCTATTATATTTTTGAGACAGAGTCTCAGTTTCTATGTATATAAGGCTCGCCTTGCGTTCACAGAGATCTTCCTGCCTCAGCCTCCCTGGTGCTGGGATCACAGACATGCACCACCACGCCCAGTGGCATTTTCTAAATTGTCTGTGGAGAACTCCGCGCGGAGAGCAAGTTTGCTTTTCCGGCCTCAACCGGTTCGCTGCCGTGGGCGCTGTCACTGGTGCTGGACGGACTGCCCTCCGCCTCGCAGCTGGCCCCTTTCCTCAGGTGAATGGAGGACAGGCGATTCCTGGAGATGGCGGGGACCTCGCAAACCAGGAGACACACACCCTCAGGCCAGGGTACAGCACCGGCGGAGGTGACCAGGGGGGCCGGTGAGGTTGAGGGGGAGGGGTCTCCGGGAGTGAGACTGTGCAGCGGCCACAGGACCTCGGCTCTCCACACTGGCGTGGGCTCCGAGGCTGGGGACAGACGGGGACCCTGGTATCTGGGCAGAGCCGGATTTTGGGCCAGCAGGGCAGGTGGGCAGCTCCCGCATGCAGCATCCCGCACGGGTTTGCTGCGGCCGGGCTGAGAAGCCGCAAGAAGGCCAAGGGACTTCCCAGCTTCGGGGTGGGGAGGAGGCAGGATCCAGCTGGTGTGGGGTGTGGCTGGCGGCCAGAGAGGGTTGGGTGCTCTGGCTCTGCCGCCCCCTCTGCCCCCGCCCGAGACTGTGGCCTGGCCCTGTCCCAGGGTCAGCCCACCCAGGGTGTTCACAGTAACTCGCATGTGATGTCCTCATCCAGCCACCGGAGGCAGTGTTGCCCCTGGCAAGCTGGGAGCCTGTGGGCTCAGGGAGGAAAGGGGCGCCGGGAGCTGGCCAGGTCCTGCTTCCACCACCGAGGCCTGGGCCCTGCATTACACAGAGGTCGGAGTGGCCCCCCATTCCCTGGGTTGGGGGATGGCGGGGTCAGACAGCACGGCTGGGCTCAGGAGCAGGAGAGGAAGTGACCACCAGCATCTGTAGGCCAGGCCCCCAGTGCCCCCAAGGCCAGGAGTTCCCAGTGGGCCCAGAGTCCCAGAACCCTGCGGTGCGTACCCCCACCCCGGACAACAGCTGCCCAGACACCCATGGAGGTGCAGCTCAGCTGCCCAGGCGGGAAAGGGGCCGGAGGCCAATCAGCACACCTTTCTGCCCTTTTAAGCACTGACAGTCATTTTAACAGGACGAAAAGCCACTGGCCCAGGCTAACCCTGACAGACAGGGCGTGCTTCACAGGTGAAGGCGCAGCGTGAGGCCGGAACCCCAGAAACGCCCTTCGTCAGCACGGCTGCACAAGGCCACCGTTGTGGGCCAACACGGTGGGGATGGCAGCTCTATAGCCCGAGCAGTGCCTGTGTCTCTCGGCGCTGGGGGGAGATGTCGCCACTCCCAGTGCCACAACGCTGCCAGCCCCCACCCTGCCCCCAAACGGTCGACACCAACAGAAAACTGCAAAGCACCTCAGAAGTGCAGGGAGCAGCCCAGGCCAGAGCAGTGGCCGCAGCACCAGTGCCGACAGGGATTCTTTAGCGCCTGGAGAGAAGCAGCAGGGCTGGAGACGGCAAGTGACTCCAGAGTCTCCTGGGGGTGGCCTCCAGGAGAACCCAGAGGGTAGCAGGAGCCATTGCAAGTAAAGTCACCAGGCAGCAGGTTCACCTGCCCATCAGGAGGCACGGTGTGCTGGACTCATTATGCAGCCCAGGCTGGCCTCAAACTCACAGCATCCTCCTGCCTCAGCCTCCCAAGTGCTGGGATTGCAGGGATGCACCACCACGCCCAGCTGGGCTTTTCGCTAGCACAGTCCAAGAGAGTAAACAAAGCCACTTGCAAAGGGGACAGAGCAGCCGTGGCGTCACATGGACCCTCAGCGTCAGCACAGAGCAGAACAGGACCCACATCCTGGCAAGCGCTTATTCCACTGAGCTCTATCCCCAGCCCTGTGGACCCACATCCTGGACGACGGACGGTGCTTCTGTCTGCATTCCTCCACACGGCACAAGGCTCTGATAGGAAGATGGAGGACGCTGGGCTGAGGGACGGGGACCCGGCAGCCAGGCGGTAGGCACCTCATTGGGCCCAGGCTTGGAGCTGAAGAAGCTGAGACCCACAGACGGTGGCGGGGTGGTAGCAACACCCAAACCAAGTCAGCCCTCTAGCTCCTGCCCCAGGAAACAAGGGAACAAACCGAGAGGCACTCATGGCAGGCAGACGGCAAGGGACAACGCAGGGCAGAAAACACGAAGCTGCAAACAGAAAAGCAGTGCGGGAAGCCGGGGAAGGAGCTGTTTCTCGAAGACACCGTGAAAACCGGTGAAACCCTGGCCAGGGTGGCCCAGCACCAGGAGGAAGCAGGAGACCCGGGGGACAACCAGGGGCAGACCAGGTCCCCAGTCTGACGGGGACAGCCGACACCCCTGTCCCACGAAGAGAAAGACTGAGTCCACAGCTACAGAACTCTCGAGAGACGAAGCTCCAGAGCCACGGGGCTTGGAAATTCTACCAAACACTAGTATAAATCAGCACCAATTCTATGAAAATCTTTCCCAAAACAGTAAAGCAGCAACTTTCTGATTCATTTATGAATGTAGTTATATCTAGATACCCAAATTAAAAAAGGAATGGAAGAAAAAGACCAATAGCCCCTATGGACATCGATGCAAACTCCTTAGCAAAATATCAGCAATGTGGGAAACCCTCACTCGCCCAGAACAGGGGTGGTTCTGGGACTACGGCTACTCGTGTTCAAAACTCAGTGTAGCCTATGGCGTAGCCAGCACAAGGGAAAAGAAACCTAATCTGCCAATTGCTACAGAAAAGGCATCTGATAAAACCCAGCGTGCACCCACGGTAAGGGGAAGCTGTCAGGAACTGGCAGTGTGAGCATCTCCTGGAGACCAAGGCTGTGGGAAAAGGGAGATTTTACTCCGAGGCGTGCAGGCAGGCCGGCATTGGAGGGCCGGCAGCTGCTCTCTGAGAGGAGGCTGAGGGTCTACAAGGTTAGCGTTGGGGTCGCAGTTTCAAATAAACTGGATGAAGGGTTTGAAGTCAAAACTGCATAGACATGGGGCCGGAGATGTTGCTCAACTGCACAGCGCCCACCTGGCAAGCACAAGGTCCTGAGTTCGAGTCCCAGTTCCAAAAACAACAGCAAAACTACACGGACAATCAGCACAGGCACTAGCGTAGATAGAAAGGAAGGAAGCTCAATTCCAGACCTGAAGACCTCAGGTCTGGCCCTAAATGTCCTTAGGCTCCTTGTTTGCAGGGGGCAGGCCATGGTCAGTAGCAGGCGAGGTATTGTTTGTCACAGCATGAAGTTCTCTCCCAGGTCACTCTCAGGCCAGGCCTGACAGAAACCTCTCAGGAAAATAGGCACCAAGGAGGGGCG